TGCAAAACATAAAGTAATGCACTTGGGGGGCTGGAGGACTCTCATTTTTGTGGGCTGGAGGACCTTAGTTATGGGAAAGGAGGACCTCAAGTTGTGGGGGATGAAGGACATCAGTTATGGAGGATGGAGGAGCTCAGTTGTGAGGATGGATGAGCTCAGTTATGGGGGATTGAAGAGCTCAGTTATGAGGGATGGAGGACTTATTTTTGGGGCATGGAGGAGCTCAGTTATGGGTAGATGAAGGACCTCATTTATGGGGCATGGAGGAGCTCAGTTATGGAAGATGTTGAAGGACCTCATTTATGAGGGATGGAGAACCTCAGTTATGGGGGCTGAAGGACCTCAGTTATGGGGGGCTGAATGACCTCAGTTATGGGGGGATGAAGGACCTCAGTTATGGAGGATGGGGCTCAGTTATGGGGATGGAGGAGCTCAGTTATGGGGGATATAAGGGGACTTCAGTTATGGAGGAAGAAGGACCTCATTTATGAGGGATGGAGGACCTCAATTATGAGGGCTTGAAGGACCTCAGTTATGGAGGTTGGAGGAGCTCAGTTATGGGGATGGGGATGGAGGAGGACTTCAGTTACGGGGTATGGAAGACTTCAGTTATGAGAGATGAAGGACCTCAGTTTTGGGGGATGGAGGACCTCATTTATGGGAGAAGGAGGACCTCAGGTATGGGAGATGGAAGAGCTCAGTTATGGGGGATGGAGGACCTCAATAATGGGAAATAAAGGACCTTAGTTATGGCGGATGGAGGACCTTGGTTATGGGGGATGGAGGACCTTAGCTATATGGGATGAGGATCTGAGTTATGGGGGATGGAGGACCTCAGTAATGCACTTGGGGCAGCTAAAAATATGAACAAAAGTTACTCACTAGGATTTTAGAACCTCTGGGGAATCCAGGATGGAAAAGGATCTTGGGGTGCTAGTAGAGGACAGACTCAGCAATAGCATGCTATGCTATGATACAGCAAACTAGGCCAGCAGACTATTAGAATGCATTAAAAAAGAAAATTTACTCTAGAGATAAAACTATAATTCTACCAATTTACAAAACTCTGGTTTGGCCATATCTGGAAAATGCCGTCCAGTTCTGGTCACCAGTCCTCAGGAAGGATGGGCTGGAACTGGAGAAAGTCCAGAGGAGGGCAACAAAGCTAATAAGGGAGCTGGAGGACCTTAGTTATGAGAATAGAGGACCTCAGTTATGGGGATGAAGAGCCTCATTTATGACAGATGGAGGATCTCAGTTATGGGGGTGCTGAAGGACCTCAGTTATGGATGATGGAGGAGCTCTGTTTATGGGGGATGGAGGAGCTCGGTTATGAGGGATGGAGGACCTCATTTATGGGGGATTGAGGAGCTCAGTTAGGGAGGATGAAGGACCTCAGTTATGGGCGATGGAAGATCTCAGTTATGGGGGATGGAGGACTTCAGTTATGGGGTATGGAGGACCTCAGTTTGGAGGACTGAGGACCTCACCTATATGGGATGAGGATCTGTGTTATGGGGGATGGAGGACCTCAGTAATGGGAAATAGAGGACCTTATTTATGGGGAATGGAGGACCTTAGTTATGTGGGATGGATCTCAGTTATCTGAGATGGAGAAGCTCAGTTATGAGGAGCGACCACAAACATTGAACTTATTGTCCCTGGAGCAGAGGAACTTAACCCCTTCCTGCTGGCGCCTCCCGTCCCCTTTAAGAGTTTCAGAAGCCGGGAGGTGGGGACGGGCGGGGTTTAGGGATCATGTGACCACCGTGATGCATCGTCATGGTGGTCACATGATCGGGAAAGGTCCCGATCGAAAGAGCAGACTGGGACCCTTCCGTGAGTACCGGACATATGTGCTGAGGGCGTGCGCTCTCAGCACATATGTTTTTTCTTACCTGAACGCAAATGTGTTGCCGCTCGGCATCTAGGACCAGACGCAGGGAGGCCGCACATTTGTGTGCGGCCGGCATAAAGGGGTTAATGGAAGATATGATCACAATATACAGATCTTTGACTCTAGCATTGGGAGTAAACCATTTAATCTTGGGTCTGTAAAAGAAGAAATGCGACCAGGGGCGGACTGACAACTCATGGGGCCCCCGAGCAATAGGGGATCATGGGGCCCCTGTGTCCTCGCCCACACCCAAAAAAGCCTATGAAAAAGCCAATGAAAGGTACCAGCAGCATCTCATGGGGCCCCCTACCGACCCTGGGCCCTCGTGCAGTGCCCGAGTGCTCGAATGGTCAATCCGCCTCTGCATGCGACCACACAATGAAGTTGGATGAGAAGCGGTTCAATCTTAAAACTGTTCTGGAAGGATTTGAAACCTTCCACACTTGATGGTGTCAGCGGGGAGTGTAGATAAATTCAGAAAACCTTTAGATGCACTTCTTAGTGAACGCAGTGACACACACATACAGGTTGAACTGGATGGACTGGTATCTTTACTCAAACGTATCAACTACCCAATGATTCCATTCTTGATCTTACATTGAAAATATTTGGTTTCTTCTTGTGATATAAGTGATGTGATCCCACAGCAGAATCAATATAGACACCTATGAATCAACAGTTGGCATTTCAATAACATTTCTACCAATGTGTCATCACTACTGGGAGTACATAGTAGGCACCTCTGGGTGCTCATACATCAAGTTCATTTTGTGGTTCATCCTCCAATCCCCAGGTGATCCCAAATAAATAAAATATAAGGGGGTTACAGCCCAGTGGTTATTTGGGCGTTTTCTTTGGGAACACACCTGATTGCACTCATAGATGGCGGCTGGTTCTTTCCACCCTCCTAGACTTTACATATATCATTTTTGGAAGGAAATGCAGAGATACGAGATATGAGACTAACTATCATTTTACTTACTGTATGCCAAAGTGCAGCGACTTAAGAAAGTAATAATCATGACATTTTGGCTTCACATTGCAGGTTCTCCCACAGTTGCTGCTTCCAAGAATTTAGTACAAGAATACAAACAGCAGAGCCTGGCACAATATCAGCCATCAACGACAGCAGAAAAATGTAAAACAACCCTCATAGAGGAAGTATGGAGGCCACCATTGCTGCCGTCTCTGCTGAGAATACCGGGGCACCATACCTGGAATGCTGATCTTCAGTACTCCCTGAACCTCTGTCCCAGAACAAGCATGCGGATTAGATGTTCTAATGTCATTCCTCATCTACATGTGTGTTCTGGTTCAGCACCATGGCTAGTCCTAAAGCCAGAGACTGGCGGGCAACACAAATGTTCTGAAGGAAGTCAGAACCCGTAACGCCTGTGGATTCCCGAGGACAGTTCTTTCTTTAACATTGGGCAGATGTTGTTCTACACTAATTATACAGAAGGAAGCCACAAATCTTCACACAATGCTGGCCTTGGGTATGGTACCTGACAACGAAACCGAAATGATAAGCAATGGATGGGAGCACAATCAATACAATCTATTATTATATTATTATTTTAATGTACACAAAGTGCAGACAAGTATATATTTTGTAGCAAAGTGACCCCATCGTAACATACACCAGACTGTACTGAAAGTAATGCAACAGTGGGAAAAACTATTTTATATTAACTTGCAAAGGTTGTCCAACCTTTACATGTTGGTAGAGTAATTCTTCCTCTATAGTAACTCTTCTCTATAGTAACTCTTCCTCTATAGTAACCCTTCCTCTATAGTAACTCCTCCTCTATAGTAACCCTTCTCTATAGTAACCCTTTCCTCTATAGTAACCCTTCCTCTATAGTAACCCTTCCTCTATAGTAACTCCTCCTCTATAGTAACTCTTCCTCTATAGTAACTCCTTCCTCTATAGTAACCCTCCTCTATAGTAACCTATCCCCTTCTCTATAGTAACTCTTCCTCTATAGTAACCCCTCCTCTATAGTAACCCTTCCTCTATAGTAACTTCCTCTATAGTAACTCTTCCTCTATAGTAACCCTCCCTCTATAGTAACTCCTTCCTCTATAGTAACCCTCCCTCTATAGTAACCCTCCTCTATAGTAACCCTTCCTCTATAGTAACCCTTCCTCTATAGTAACCCTTCCTCTATAGTAACTCTTCCTCTATAGTAACCCTCCCTCTATAGTAACCCTTCCTCTATAGTAACCCTTCCTCTAAGTAACCCTTCCTCTATAGTAACCCTTCCTCTATAGTAACCCTTCCTCTATATAACCCTTCCTCTATAGTAACCCTTCCCTCCTCTATAGTACCCTTCCTCTATAGTAACTCCTTCCTCTATAGTAACCCTCCCTCTATAGTAACCCTTCCTCTATAGTAACCCTTCCTCTATAGTAACCCTTCCTCTATAGTAACCCTTCCTCTATAGTAACCCTTCCTCTATAGTAACCCTTCCTCTATAGTAACCCTTCCTCTATAGTAACCCTTCCTCTATAGTAACTCTTCCTCTATAGTAACCCTTCCCCTATAGTAACTCTACTCTATAGTAACCCTTCCTCTATAGTAACCCTTCCTCTATAGTAACTCTTCCTCTATTAGTAACTCTTCCTCTATAGTAACTCTTCTCTATAGTAACCCTTCCCCTATAGTAACTCCTCCTCTATAGTAACCTTCCTCTATAGTAACCCTTCCTCTATAGTAACCCTTCCTCTATAGTAACCCTTCCTCTATAGTAATCCTTCCTCTATAGTAACCCTTCCCTCTAAGTAAACTCTTCCTCTATAGTAACCCTTCCTCTATAGTAACTCCTCCTCTATAGTAACCCTTCCTCTATAGTAACTCTTCCTCTATAGTAACCCTTCCTCTATAGTAACTCCTCCTCTAATAGTAACCCTTCCTCTATAGTAACCCTTCCTCTCTATAGTAACCCTTCCTCTATAGTAACTCCTCCTCTATAGTAACCCCTTCCTCTATAAGTAACCCTTCCCCTATAGCAGTGATGCGAACCGTTTTGAGCCCGAGTGCCCAAACTGCAACACAAAACCAACTTTTTTATTTCAAAGTGCCAACACTGGAATTAATCACTTGCCTACCGGGCACTTCTACCCCCCTTCCTGCCTACAGGGCACTTCTACCCCTTTCTGCCTACAGGGCACTTCTACCCCCTTCCTGCCCAGGACAATTTTCAGCTTTCAGTGCTGTTGCACTTAACAATGACAATTGTGCGGTCATGCAAACACTGTAACCATATGCAATTTTTATCATTTTTTCACACAAATATAGAGCTTTTTTTGGTGGTATTTAATCACCACTGGGTGTTTTTATTTTTTGCACTATAAATGAAAAAAGAGCAAAAAAATTAAAAACATAAAAAGGTTTCCTTTGCTTTCTATTCTAAAATTTTGCAAACAGGTAATATATCTTCTTTGATGTTGCGTTGGTGAGGCTGCACTGATAGGCAGCACTGATGGGCATTGATGAGGCGGCACAGATAGGTAGCACTGATGAGGCGGCACTGGTGAGCATTGATGAGGAGGCACTGATGATGCACTGATATGCAGGAAATGATGGGCACTGATAAGCGGCACTGACTGATAGCATCAACTGCGAGGCACTGACAGACGGCACTGACCGGCGGCACTGCTGGCATCATTGATGGTGGCACTGATGGGCAGCACTAATGAGGTGTCACAGGTGGCACTGATATGCGGCATGATTGGTGGCACTGAATAGGCGACACTGATCATGGGTACTGATAGACAGCACTGATAGGTGACACTGACTGACATCACTGCAGGGCACTTCTGGGCACTGCTGGGCACTGACTGGCACAACCGCTGGGCACTGACTGGTGGCACTGACTGGCAGCACTGCTGGGCTGCACTGATGGCACTGGATGGGTGGCACTGGTGGGCACAGGTGGACATGGCACTGGGTGGGCACAGGTGGGTTGGCACAGGTTGGTGGCAACTACTGAGCACAGGTAGGTGTGCACTTCTGGGCACAGGTGGGTGCACTGCTGAGCACTGGTGGGTGGCACTGCTGGGCACAGGTGGGTGCATTGCTGGGCACAGGTGGGCAGAACTTGTGTGTGGCACTGCTGGGCACCGATCATCAGGGCACTGATGATCAGTGACCCTAATGAACGGTTGCCGTTCCCTGCTCTGACAACTGCCGGTTCTCGGCAGTACTTTCCTCACGATCTGACAGTGTGAGGAAAGTGCAGCCGAGAACCGGCGTTTGCATTTCCCGGTGATCAGCGTGTCATTGGACACGGCTGATCACGTGGTAAAAGGCCGCTGTGATTGGCCTTTTACCACGTTACGTGATTAGCTGTGTCCGTAGGACACAGCGATTACGGAGATAGCCTAGTGCGCGCCCCCGGGGGTGCGCAGGATAGCGCGTTCTTCCTCTTCTTCCTGGCGTGCCCACTGAGATGGCTTTGCGTGCCATAGGTTCGCCATCACTGCCCTATAGTAACTCTTCCTCTATAGTAATTCTTCCTCTATAGTAACCCTTTCCTCTATAGTAACCCTTCCTCTATAGTAACTCTTCCTCTATATAGTAACCCTTCCTTCTATAGTAACCCTTCCTCTATAGTAAACTCTACCTCTATAGTAACCCTTCCTCTATAGTATAACTCTTCCTCTATAGTAACCCTTCCTCTATAGTAACCCTTCCTCTATAGTAACCCTTCCTCTATAGTAACTCCCTCTATAGTAACCCTTCCTCTATAGTATCCCTTCCTCTATAGTAACCCTTCCTCTATAGTTCAAACTCTTCCTCTATAGTAACCCTTCCTCTATAGTAACCCTTCCTCTATAGTAACCCTTCCTCTATAGTAACCCTTCCTCTATAGTAACCCTTCCTCTATAGTAATTCTTCCTCTATAGTAACTCTTCCTCTATAGTAACCTTCCTCTATAGTAACCCTTCCTCTATAGTAACTCTTCCTCTATAGTAACCCTTCCTCTATAGTAACTCTTCCTCTATAGTAACCCTTCCTCTATAGTAACCCTTCCTCTATAGTAACCTCTTCCTCTATAGTAACTCTTCCTCTATAGTAACCCTTCCTCTATAGTAACCCTTCCTCTATAGTAACCCTTCCTCTATAGTAACCCTTCCTCTATAGTAACCCTTCCTCTATAGTAACCCTTCCTCTATAGTAACTCTTCCTCTATAGTAACTCTTCCTCTATAGTAACCCTTCCTCTATAGTAACTCTTCCTCTATAGTAACTCTTCCTCTATAGTAACTCTTCCTCTATAGTAACCCTTCCTCTATAGTAACCTCTTCCTCTATAGTAACCCTTCCTCTATAGTAACTCCTCCTCTATAGTAACCCTTCCTCTATAGTAACCCTTCCTCTATAGTAACCCTTCCTCTATAGTAACCCTTCCTCTATAGTAACCCTTCCTCTATAGTAACTCTTCCTCTATAGTAACCCTTCCTCTATAGTAACTCCTCCTCTATAGTAACCCTTCCTCTATAGTAACCCCTCCCTCTATAGTAACTCTTCCTCTATAGTAACCCTTCCTCTATAGTAACCCTTCCTCTATAGTAATCTTCCTCTATAGTAACTCTTCCTCTATAGTAACCCTTCCTCTATAGTAACCCTTCCCCTATAGCAGTGATGGCGAACCGTTTTGAGCCCGAGTGCCCAAACTGCAACACACAAAACCAACTTTTTTATTTCAAAGTGCCAACACTGGAATTAATCACTTGCCTACCGGGCACTTCTACTACCCCCTTCCTGCCTACAGGGCACTTCTACCCCCTTCCTGCCTACAGGGCACTTCTACCCCCTTCCTGCCTACAGGGCACTTCTACCCCCTTCCTGCCCAGGACAATTTTCAGCTTTCAGTGCTGTTGCACTTAACAATGACAATTGTGCGGTCATGCAACACTGTAACCATATGCAATTTTTTATCATTTTTTCACACAAATAGAGCTTTTTTTGGTGGTATTTAATCACCACTGGGTGTTTTATTTTTTGCACTATAAATGAAAAAGAGCAAAAAATTAAAAACATAAAAGGTTTCCTTTGCTTCTATTCTAAAATTTTGCAAACAGGTAATATTTCTTCTTGATGATGTGCGTTGGTGAGGCTGCACTGATAGGCAGCACTGATGGGCATTGATGAGGCGGCACAGATAGGTAGCACTGATGAGGCGGCACTGGTGAGCATTGATGAGGAGGCACTGATGATGCACTGATATGCAGGAAATGATGGGCACTGATAAGCGGCACTGACTGATAGCATCAACTGGAGGCACTGACAGACGGCACTGACCGGCGGCACTGCTGGGCATCATTGATGGGTGGCACTGATGGGCAGAGCACTAATGAGGTGTCACAGGTGGCACTGATATGCGGCACTGATTGGTGGCACTGATAGGCGACACTGATCATGGGTACTGATAGACAGCACTGATAGGTGACACTGACTGACATCACTGCAGGGCACTTCTGGGCACTGCTGGGCACTGACTGGCACAACCGCTGGGCACTGACTGGTGGCACTGACTGGCAGCACTGCTGGGCTGCACTGATGGGCACTGGTGGGTGGCACTGGTGGGCACAGGTGGGTGGCACTGGTGGGCACAGGTGGGTTGGCACAGGTTGGTGGCACTACTGAGCACAGGTAGGTGGCACTTCTGGGCACAGGTGGGTGCATTACTGAGCACTGGTGGGTGGCACTGCTGGGCACAGGTGGGTGCATTGCTGGGCACAGGTGGGCAGAACTTGTGTGTGGCACTGCTGGGCACCGATCATCAGGGCACTGATGATCAGTGACCCTAATGAACGGTGCCGTTCCCTGCTCTGACAACTGCCGGTTTCTCGGCAGTACTTTCCTCACGATCTGACAGTGTGAGGAAAGTGCAGCCGAGAACCGGCGTTTGCATTTCCCGGTGATCAGCGTGTCATTGGACACGGCTGATCACGTGGTAAAAGGCCGCTGTGATTGGCCTTTTACCACGTTACGTGATTAGCTGTGTCCGTAGGACACAGCGATTACGGAGATAGCCTAGTGCGCGCCCCCGGGGGTGCGCAGGATAGCGCGTTCTTCCTCTTCTTCCTGGCGTGCCCACTGAGATGGCTTTGCGTGCCATAGGTTCGCCATCACTGCCCTATAGTAACTCTTCCTCTATAGTAATTCTTCCTCTATAGTAACCCTTCCTCTATAGTAACCCTTCCTCTATAGTAACTCTTCCTCTATAGTAACCCTTCCTCTATAGTAACCCTTCCTCTATAGTAACCCTTCCTCTATAGTAACCCTTCCTCTATAGTAACCCTTCCTCTATAGTAACTCCTCCTCTATAGTAACCCTTCCTCTATAGTAACCCTTCCTCTATAGTAACCCTTCCTCTATAGTAACTCTTCCTCTATAGTAACCCTTCCTCTATAGTAACCCTTCCTCTATAGTAACCCTTCCTCTATAGTAACCCTTCCTCTATAGTAACCCTTCCTCTATAGTAACTCTTCCTCTATAGTAACCCTTCCTCTATAGTAACCCTTCCTCTATAGTAACCCTTCCTCTATAGTAACTCTTCCTCTATAGTAACTCTTCCTCTATAGTAACCCTTCCTCTATAGTAACTCTTCCTCTATAGTAACTCTTCCTCTATAGTAACTCTTCCTCTATAGTAACCCTTCCTCTATAGTAACTCTTCCTCTATAGTAACCCTTCCTCTATAGTAACTCCTCCTCTATAGTAACCCTTCCTCTATAGTAACTCCTCCTCTATAGTAACCCTTCCTCTATAGTAACCCTTCCTCTATAGTAACTCCTCCTCTATAGTAACCCTTCCTCTATAGTAACTCTTCCTCTATAGTAACCCTTCCTCTATAGTAACTCCTCCTCTATAGTAACCCTTCCTCTATAGTAACTCCTCCTCTATAGTAACCCTTCCTCTATAGTAACCCTTCCTCTATAGTAACCCTTCCTCTATAGTAACTCTTCCTCTATAGTAACCCTTCCTCTATAGTAACCCTTCCTCTATAGTAACCCTTCCTCTATAGTAACCCTTCCTCTATAGTAACTCTTCCTCTATAGTAACCCTTCCTCTATAGTAACCCTTCCTCTATAGTAACCCTTCCTCTATAGTAACTCTTCCTCTATAGTAACTCTTTCTCTATAGTAACTCTTCCTCTATAGTAACTCTTCCTCTATAGTAACCCTTCCTCTATAGTAACTCTTCCTCTATAGTAACCCTTCCTCTATAGTAACCCTTCCTCTATAATAACCCTTCCTCTATAGTAACTCTTTCCTCTATAGTAACCCTTCCTCTATAGTAACACTAACTCTATAGTAACTCTTCCTCTATAGTAACCCTTCCTCTATAGTAATTCTTCCTCTATAGTAACCCTTCCTCTATAGTAACCCCTCCTCTATAGTAACTCTTCCTCTATAGTAACCCTTCCCTATGGATGTAAGTATGGAGACAAGATGGTGGAGCCTTCCATGATGGTAAAAGAGTTGAAAACTCCCAATCTCCTCATATTCCAAGAGGTCACAGGAGGCTGTCCATAGGCCAGCTGGTGGTTTGGCTAGAGACCACTAGGGGACCCGCTTATAAATTAACCAATAATTAATATAAATCCAAACACTACATTAAACAAAAAAATCCTACCTGTATTTGGCATCACCAGCCGCCCTCCTTCATGGCCAAAAATTCCACAGACTCTCATCTCCGGCTTGGAGGAAACAGAGGACAGGTTTTGAATGTAGGGAGTTTTGTTCCTGTTGTGTAACGTTCCAAAGCACCTGTTGTTCCCGTGAGGGAAGGTTCCCGACAGGGTCTTGTTGTGGAACTCCGGCCTCTCCGTCACCCCCAGCGACACCATAAAGGAACTTTGCACTTTGACCTTGATGTCCGTTAGGGGATTATAAATTGAAGATTCAGTCATTAGCTCTTTGTCCATTGGGTCCTGGAAACAAATGGGACCGCTGTAGGTTCTGCTGACGGTCAAGTCCGGCTGGAGCGAGGAGTTCAGTAAAAGAGAGTTACCTGCAAGACAAAGAGATCGGCTGTTGGCTATGACCCCGGCCAGACATGAACTGCAAAGGTGACTCACATCCCATCTCTAGTAATAGTTAGGATTAAAATGATTTAATTTAGCAAATCCGCAGACAGTAGAATTTCTATATTCCCCCCCCCACCCCCCCCCCACCGATACTAAAGTCTATGTGATGGAAACCATCAAAGCGTTACGGGAAATACAGAATGTGCACTCATGTATCTCCGAGTTAATATCCTGTTACTATGCACTTACATACTGAGCCATGTCCTCCCCATTATGGGCTCTCTATCTATATTTCATAGACATTTCATAGCTGCGGGATTATGCATGATGGAGCCGGCTCATTGTCAGAGAACGATCGCTTCGTGTAACTCGCTGCATGGAGAGCCTGGCTCTATGACTCTGTATAGGAATAATTACATCTATAATACCATTCACAGGTAAATACGATTTGTTTTCCTTGATTCCATTTGAAGTACGCAATTCTTTAACCCCTTCCAGTTCTGACACTTCCCCCCCTTCCGGTCAGGACACTTTCCCCCCTTCCAGTCCGGACACTTTCCCCCCCCCCCCTTCCACTCCGGACACTTTCCCCCCCTTCCAGTCCGGACACTTTCCCCCCTTCCAGTCCGGACACTTTACCCCCTTTCCTGTCCGGACACTTTCACACTTTCACCCACTTTCCCCCCTTCCAGTCCGGACACTTTCCCCCCTTCCAGTCCGGACACTTTACCCCCCTTCCTGTCCGGACACTTTCCCCCCCTTCCAGTCCGGACACTTTCCCCCCCCTTCCAGTCCAGTCCGGACACTTTCACCCCCATTCCAGTCCAGGACATTTTCCCCCCTTCCAGTCCGGACACTTCCCCCCCTTCCAGTCCGGACACTTTCCCCCCTTCCAGTCCGGACACTTTCCCCCCTTCCAGTCCGGACACTTTACCCCCCTTCCAGTCCGGACACTTTCCCCCCTTCCAGTCCGGACACTTTCCCCCTTCCAGTCCGGACACTTTCCCCCCCTTCCTGTCCGGACACTTTCCCCCCTTCCAGTCCGGACACTTTCCCCCCCTTCCAGTCCGGACACTTTCACCCCCATCCAGTCCAGACATTTTCCCCCCTTCCAGTCCGGACACTTTCCCCCCCTTCCAGTCCGGACACTTTCCCCCCCTTCCAGTCCGGACACTTTCCCCCCTTCCAGTCCGGACACTTTCCCCCCCTTCCAGTCTGGACACTTTAATCCCCCTTCCAGTCCGGACACTTTCCTCCCTTCCAGTCCGGACACTTTCCCCCCCTTCCTGTCCGGACACTTTCCCCCCTTCCTTCCAGTCCGGACACTTTCCCCCCCTTCCTGTCCGGACACTTTCCCCCCCCCACTTCCAGTCCGGACACTTTCACCCCAGATTCCAGTCCAGACACTTTCCCCCCCTTCCTGTCTGGACACTTTCCCCCCCTTCCAGTCCAGACACTTCCCCCCCCCTTCCAGTCCGAACACTTTCCCCCCCTTCCAGTCCGGACACTTTCCCCCCTTCCAGTCCGGACACTTTCCCCCCCTTCCAGTCCGGACACTTTCACCCCCTTCCAGTCCGGACACTTTCCCCCCCTTCCAGTCCGGACACTTTCCCCCCTTCCCAGTCCGGACACTTTCCCCCCTTCCAGTCTGGACACTTTCCCCCCCTTCTAGTCTGGACACTTTCCCCCTTCCAGCATGCCCCAGATTCTCCCGTAATCCCCCCACTATGCTCAGACATGCCCCAGAATTTCTCCCATAATCCCCCCCAACTATGCTCGGCATGCCCCCCATAATCCCCATTTTCCCGTAATCCCCCCACTACGCTCAGCATAC